GGGCACAATGTCCCCCCGCGCGTAGGCGCCCAAGCATGTGCCCACGGGCGGAGCCGTGTTCGCGAGTGTCTGTGCCTCTGAGCGTGTATCCACGAGCGCCCTAAGCCCCCGGCTCACGGATGTAGGTCCCTCCCGAGGACATGTGCCCACGGGCAAGCGCGTGTCCCCAAGACAAGTGAACGCGCGCACACGGGCATGCCTGGGTCCCTAAGAGAAGCCGCGCCTAGGAGGAGAACGCGTGTGCCGGCGTAGGTGTGCCCCCAGGACAAGCGGGCACAGGCCCGGGCACACCGGGGCCGCGGAGACAGACACGGGGGCCCATGGTCAAGCGCGTGCCCCCGAGCAGCTGACCCTCCGCGCCCTCTGAGCGGGGCCAACCTCCCGCTCGGGCGCCCCGGACACGCGCGCCCCCAGGCGGCCGCTCCTGGAATCTCCGCCAGCGCGCGCGCGCCCCGCCCTCGGGCCCGGCCGGCCGCCGCGCCTGCGCACTCAGGGCGGTTTACGGCACCGTAAAGCAGCTCGGCCGAACCGACGGCCGCAGAGTCCCGGTGAGCCCCCGCCCGCCCGCGCCCCCCGCCCGCGCCCCGCCTCGTCCGCTCCGGGGCCGCCCCGCCCCGCCTCCCGCGGGCCTGGGGATCCCGGGTCCGTCCCCTTCGGCCCTCGCCAGGGGTCCTTGAGGAGGGCGGGCCCCTCCCGGCCTCCGCGGCCTGGCCGCCCTCGCAGCCGCGGGGAGGGGCTCAGCACCGCCCCCTGCGTCTCGCGCTGGGCGCTCCCGGTGTAGACGGCCGCGCCCGGGGCGCGTCCTGGAGCCCCCCGCCGCGGTGTGCCCATCCCTCTCGTGGACCGCGTTGGGGGCAGCCCCAGTAGCCCCAGACCCTTCCGGCCTCTGGCCGCTTCCTGCGTCATGGGGGCGGAGGGTGTCTCAGCGCCCTCGGGGTCCCTGCCCGGCACCCCCAGGGTTTCTCCCGCGGCCCCTTGCGGGTCCCTAACCCCACCCTCCACGGGCTGGGTGCCCTGGGGCCGCAGGCTCGCGCGCCCCCTCCTGGTCCCCCCGCGCCCCGGGGCGCGCCGGCCGCCCCTGCCGTGTCTCCCGCCGCCCCGCACGCAGGTGGGCGGGTTCCCAGCGCCTTCTCGGAGCCCCCATCCCCCCCCCCCCCCCCCCCCGGCTTCCTTACGAACGAAAGCCCGTCCACGTCTTCAAGGAGGCGAGCTTCGTGCGTGCCAGACGGGCGCTGTCAGAGCCCTTTCCTCCTGGTTTGTCCCCCAAGCCCCAAGCCCTCCGGGCTGTTGGCCTTCACCTGCGGGAGGTCCGCGGGGGCAGCTGCAGGCTTGCGGGGGGAGAGTGCCTGAGACTTCTCGCGGCCGCCGTCCTTGTCCCCTCCGAGCCCTAGGTCTGATGCCTCCTCCCCCACGCACTAGTTCTCTCGTTGCTCCCACAGGTGGCAGAGGGGGCGCGAGGGTGCTTTTCACGTAGGTGCAACCACCTGGAACCCTAAGGTTGGATGGCTTCCAGTCCCCCCGTTCTGATCTCCCCCTTGGGGCCCCCCTCTTCCCTCCAGCCCAAGCCCCCTCCTCGCCAGGGGTGTGAACTTACTAATTTCCCCATTTTACTTCCCTGGAAGAGGCGTGCTTTATGTACTGGTAGATGCCCCCTCTCCTTCCCCTTTCTTTTTTTATGTGGAGGTCGGCCACGGAGCACGGAAAAAAGGGTGTGGGGGGGCAGTGCTCCTTCGTGTCCCCCCCGCCCCACGACACATGTCTCCTTGTGTCCCAGCAGGGCGGCGGAAGCATGGAGGCGCGCTTCACGCGCGGGAAGTCGGCGCTGCTGGAGCGCGCGCTGGTGCGGCCCCGCACCGAGGTGAGCCTGAGCGCCTTCGCGCTGCTCTTCTCCGAGCTGGTGCAGCATTGCCAGAGCCGGGTCTTCTCCGTGGCCGAGCTGCAGGCGCGCCTGGCCGCCCTGGGCCGCCAGGTGGGCGCCCGCGTTCTGGATGCGCTGGTGGCCCGCGAAAAGGGTGCTCGGCGGGAGACCAAGGTGCTGGGTGCTCTGCTGTTCGTCAAGGGCGCCGTGTGGAAGGCGCTCTTCGGCAAGGAGGCGGACAAGCTGGAGCAGGCCAACGATGACGCGCGCACCTTCTACATCATCGAGCGGGAGCCCCTCATCAATGCCTACATCTCTGTGCCCAAGGAGAACAGCACGCTCAACTGTGCCAGCTTCACGGCGGGCATCGTGGAGGCGGTGCTCACGCACAGCGGCTTTCCAGCCAAGGTCACGGCACACTGGCACAAGGGCACCACGCTCATGATCAAGTTTGAAGAGGCGGTCATAGCCCGGGACCGAGCCCTGGAGGGCCGCTGACCCTGTGGGAGATAAAGAATGCAGAGAGCCCCCTTCCCACATGTGTCTTGTGTCTTGTGTGTGTGTGTGTGTGTGTGTGTGTGTGTGGAGGGGGGCGGGCTCACAGATCCATTCATGGCCTTGACCCAGGTGCCTGCCTCAGGCTGGTGAGGGAGGCCAGGATCCAAGCATGTTTATAATACCTCCGAGAGGTGGGGGTGGGCTGGGTCCCACCAGCCCCAGCTTACAGATGGGCCTGGGGGAGGCCGGGGGCAGTGTGGGGGTAAGTCTGCAGAAGGAGAATGCTGATCCGCTCTGGAATCACAATTGGAGGCCAGGCTGGAGACCTGGGGATGGAGGTGGAGGGATCAGACTAAGTAAGAGACTCCTTTAGACCAGAGGCTGGCACACTTTTTTAGTAAAGGGCCAGATAGTGACTAGTTTATGCCTGGCAGTCTCTGTCCAGCTACTCTGCAGTGTAGACTGCAGTAGGTCAAGGATTGGGTGTGGCTGTGTGACTAGAAACCGGGCAGAGGGTGGTCGCTGACCCCTGTTTAGACGCTTGCTGCTCATCAAAGTGTGGTCCGGGACTGGGAGCATCAGCATCTCCTGCGAGCTTGTCAAAACGCGGACCCTCAGGCCCACCCCAGGCCTGCCAACCGAGAGTCTGCATTCTAGCAAGATCCTCGGGGGATTCCTGTGTATCTTATTTTGAGAATGTCCTAACAGGGGTGGCTGGACACCAACACCCCCCCCCCCCCCCAGTTTCAGATTCTGCAGAAGATCTGGGCAGACTGAAGATTTGCATTTCTAACAAGTTCCTAGGAACTGCTGATGCTCCTGGGGCCACACTGGGGGAACTATGCCTCTAGAGACCTGGGGAAATGGGTGGGCTCACTTCAGAATCATTTGGTGTCTGAAGTTAATACTGATGCCATGTGAGCACATTTGTGTTCCTTGTTTGTGATTTTATTTTATTTTTAAAGATTTTATTTTTAAGTAATCTCCGCTCCACCGGCGAGGGGGGTGGACACGGGTAGGGTGGGGTGGGGAGGGCTCACGAACAAAACTCACAACCCTGGGCAGCCCTGGTGGTGCAGCGGTTTAGCGCCTCCTTCAGCCCAGGGTGTGATCCTGGAGACCCAGAATCGAGTCCCACATCAGGCTCCCTGCATTGAGCCTACTTCTCCCTCTGCCTGTGTCTCTCCTTCTCTCTCTCTCTGTGTCTCTATGAATAAATAAAAAATCTTAAAAAAAAAAAAAAAAACAACTCACAACCCTGATCAGGATCAAGAGTCAGGCAGGCATGCTCTACCGACCGAGCCAGCCAGGTGCTCTTGTGTGTTTCTTGTTTAAAAAGTAAAATTTGACACTTAAGGCCACCCTTCTTTTCCCTTTGGCCCACCACCCCCTCTGTGTTCCTGATCACTCCTCCTCCCCAGAGTAAATCCTGCCAGACTTTTTGAAGGGAGATTTTTTTTTTTAAGATTTGTTTATTTATGATAGAAAGAGGCAGAGACACAGGAGGAGGGAGAAGCAGGCTCCATGCCGGGAGCTGGACGTGGGACTCAATCCCGGGACTCCAGGATCGCGCCCCGGGCCAAAGGCAGGCGCTAAACCACTGAGCCACCCAGGGATCCCTTTGAAGGGAGATTTGTTCAAATTTCCTTCCTCTCCTCTCGTACTTGAACAAACCTGGTGTGAAAGAGAATTTCAGGTCCCCTCATGATTTATGGAGTTTATAAAGGGGTGGGGTGGATGCAACCTTTCCGATGCTCTGTGATGCATTGTGGAGGCCGGCAAGATGTGGGGAGACCTGGGAGGTTTCAGTTATTTCCACGAGGTTGCGAGGGGTGGGGTAGGCTTCTGCACATAGCAAAGAAGATAACGTCAACAGCATAAATAGAACTGTCGAGAGCACCTACCATGTGTAGCACAGGAGATGGTCATGGGCAGGAAATAGCTGTTGGTTGGGGGAGGGAGGGGCCCCGAGGGAGCTGGGGGAAGGGGTGATCAGGGTGGCCGTCCGAATTGGGTGAGGGGGCAGTGTCTAGGAGGCCAGCCAGGATTTGAGATTTGGAGTCTGGGAGGGCAGGGATGGAAGCCGCAGGCCTGGAGGAGTGAGCCGGGGTGTGTGGGGCCCGAGAAGCCAGATTTCAGCAGGAACTGTAGGAATCTTGGGTTTAGCAGCCTGAGGTGTCCTCAGAGACCCTGGAGAGCGGCTTCTGGGGCCTGCTGGGTGGGGGTAGGGGGGCTGGTGGCAGGCAGGAATGGCCCAGCCAGCTCCATCCTGAGGCCTGGCAGTGAAGGACGCCAGAGGGGAAGAGCTGGGTGGGTCCCCAGGGAGGCGAGCTGGAGAGCTTGGAAGCTGGGAGAGGGCCCGCGGTCTGTTTCTCCCTGCTGAGGGTGGTTAGGGACCTGTGGATAAACGAGGTGTGGAACAGCGATGGGACCGGGGTGGGGGGGGGGTTGTGGCTCTGACCGGCTGCTTGGGGCCACAAATGGCGTGTCTGCTGCAGCCCCAGAGGGGTGGGCGGGGTGGGGTGGGGTGAGGAAGAGGAACCCAGCACCAGCCCTGTGAACCAGGTGGTCATGAGGCCTCCCCTCACTTAACAGACCACGAAGTGGGTTCTGGGAGAAGAGGTCATTTGCTCGTGGACACGTGTTCATTTTTCGGCAGCTCTTTATTGAACACCTACTATGTGTCAGGCGCTGGCGTCCCAGAACAAAACAAAAGCTCCCTCCTCAAGGCTCACATTCAAGCCCCAGGGGGACGGAACACACAGAGCGGTGGATGACACATTTTCTCAGAAGGGGAAGAGTTCGAGGCGATCAAGTAGGGCAGGATAAAAGGGATCTGGAGTCGGGGTGCCGTTTTAAACGAGAGGGGAGAGGAGCCCATGATAGCCCTCACTGAGGAGCGAGTGGGGGGAGGGACACGTGCAAAGGCCCTGGGGCAGGAGCAAGCCTCCATGTGGAAGGGCCAGAAAGGAGGCTGGGGCTGGCAGAGGAGAGAGCGGAAGTGAAGCTGGGGAGACAAGGCAAGTCGCAGGGGATCTGCCATTGCAAAGCTCCCTATGAGACTTTAGGTTTGTTTTTGTTTTCCCCTCAGAGGCAGAAGGAAACTTCTGGAAGGTGTGGGGCAGTGAAGAAGGAGACAGGCAGGCTGGGATGGGGGCTACCCCAAAGCGGTTGCCGGAGGCGGTGGGAAGTGGGCAGATTGTGCACAAGGCTTTCCCTGAGGATTCGGAGGGGGCAGGGAGGGAAACAGGTGCTGCTTGTGACCCCAATGTGGTGTGGGTGGCAGGGTGGGGCCGGGAGTCCCCTTTAGAGAGCTCAGGAAGACAGTTACACTCTGGCCCGGAGTTCAGGGTGGGGGGGTCTGGAGGAGGCACAGACGGGGTGAGCAGGGGGTAGACAACAGGGGACCTAGGACTAGCCGTGCCCCCGCCCCTCCCTGGCCGCAGGACTCCTAGGTGCCACTGCGGCGCCCTCCCCAGCCCCCTGGCCTGGCCCGTGACTCCCGGGTCCCGCGCGGTCCGGTGTGGGCCCCTCCTCGTGGATTCCCCTCCAGGGGGCCTGAGTATCACGAGCACATCTCTGGTTCCTTCTGCTTTTGCCAGGAATTGGGGTGGCCTGCGATATTCCTGGGGGTCTAAGGGTGTTCTCTGCTGCATCAGACCCCAGAGTCTTCCTCTCCAGCCCTGTCTAGTAAATGCTTCTTGAAAGAAAGTGTGTGTGTGTGTGTGTGTGGGGGTGGCGCTGGATAAAGTTGGCGAGGTACAAATACCACTTCAGTTGTTCTGGAAACTCAGAGGTGGCCTCAGGCACCAGGTTCTGGAGCTCCCAGCTCCCACATCTGGAGACCAGAGCCAGCGAGGCCCCTGAGAGGGGGCCATCCTCGCCCCATTTTATCGACATGGGCTGGTTGGGGAGCCTGGCTGGGGGGTAGGACCCCGGGGCTGCATCTGGGGAGGCCGGGGCTGGGGTGGGGGTGTGGTCGACTCCTGACTCCAGCAGAAGGTGGGTGGGCCCGACCCAGGAGTCTGAGGCATCCGCCACTGCTCCCCGGAAAGTTCTGAGGTGGGTACTCCGAGCGCTTGAAGGCAGGGGCGAGGTGACAGCCAGCCGGGCTGGGCTGAGGAGCAAGGGACGGGCCCTCTGGGGATTGGCAGGAGCTGGGGGTGTGTCAACAGCCCTTCTGCCATTTGGGTGCGAGGAAGTGTTGCCGACACCTTAGCCCCAAATGGTGGAGGGGCCTCAGAGCCCTGCGGGGGGGCCTGGCTGTACCTGGGGAGCGACGGAGGCGGTGCAGCTGGCAGGGCGGGCAGGGGGCTGTCGGGGTGTGTGTCTCGGAGCACATCCCAGCGAACCCCGGGGTGCCGAGGCAGCCGGTGGGCAGTCAGCACGTGGCCAGCCGGTCACACACCCAGCCGTCCAGCGAGCTGCCGCAGAAGGCGTCATTCCACTGCCCCGAGCCCTGCATCATCACGCAGTCCTCGCCCTGGCCCCCGTTGTTGGGCTCCCCAGGCCGCCAGTTGCTGGAGCAGAAGGCTTCAGGTCAGAGGACGGAGTAGGGGGAAGGAGCCCCACTGCCTTCGGCCTAGACGGCTGGGCCCTCCCACCTCATCCCTGGATCCCCATCCTGGATCCCCATCCCAACTCCCCGCGTCCCCTCGCCCCCACCTGGCTCTGCCCTCTAGGCCCACCATTGCAGAGAGGCACCCCCTCCGTCTGAGTCAGGGCCTCGGGCCCCCTCCCCCTACACCCCCCTCCTCACCTATAGTTCAGGGGGTTCTCGTCCATCCAGATAAACTCCCCCTCTCTGTCCAGGTCCCGGAGGCCAATCCAGGTGCCCTTCTTGTTGGCATACCTGGCCAGGAAGTCCTGGGGAGCAGGACAGGACTGGAAGGGCTGGGGGGCAGCTGTGCCCGGGGCCCTCCCACCATGCAGGAGGTCCAGCTGGGGATCCACAGCCGCCCCCCACCCCCCCTCCCAGCCTGCGGGCCCCGCCCTCTGCGGCAGGGCCCAGGCGCACCTGCTCCTCTTGGCTGTGGATGCTGGCCAGCCGCCCTTGCAGCTTGCTGCAGGCAAACCGGGCCTGGATCCACCTCTTGGGCTCCTCGCCGAAGTAGTAGCACTTCCTCTGGAAGTTGAGCCACTTCTCAGGGCACGTGTTACACTCGGAGCCTGGGGTGGAGGAGAGGCTCAGGGGGGCGGCTGTGGTGGGCACCGTGGCGGGCGCCGTGGCTGGTGCCGTGGCTGGGACCGTGGTGGACACTGTGGCTGGCACCGTGGTTGGCGCTGTGGTTGGCGCCGTGGCTGGGACCGTGGTGGACACTGTGGCTGGCGCCGTGGTTGGCGCTGTGGTTGGCGCCGTGGCTGGGACCGTGGTGGACACTGTGGCTGGCGCCGTGGTTGGCGCCGTGGCTGGCACTGTGGTTGGCACCACGGGTATGGTAGACAGAACGGGTGGCAGCGTCTCTCCTGGAGTCACCCTTGGGGTCCGGGCTGAAAGCACACCCACCCAGAGCCAAACGAGGTCTTGCAGGCTGCCTTCCGCCCCGGAGCTCTGGCGCTGATGTGCAGGGGCAGCCCCGTGGCAGGAGCGCCTCAACGGCTGGCACCATTGCCACAAACACCCCCACCGGACCGGAGCGTCTGCCGCTGCCACCGTCATCCTAAATACCTCTTGGCCGGCAGCACTTCAGTCCCTGCCAAGCTCCATCCTCACAAAGAGGCCAGCAGCGCAACAGTCACCATCGGCATCCCCGTGTCACCAGCTCCGTGGCCGGTGGCACCTCAACCACCAGTTGTGGTTTGGCATCACCGCAGATGCCTTCACGGTCAGAAGCACCTCAACTGCCAACACCGTGGCGATGAACGCCACGACCGTCAGCGACACAACCACAAGGATCCCGGATTGCCAGCAACCGGTCCTCACTGCCGCCGCCACCACGGCCAGCAGCACCTTCACCAACACCGCGCCAGCCACGGCTTCATCACCGTGCCGACTCGCTGAGGCCGAGATGGCCAGTGCCACCTGCCCCGTGTACGGTCCCCACCAACAGCTCCCGTAACAGCCCCGGTCACCGTTGCTATGATTTTGTCTAGTTGAAGGGATTGATCAGGAGAGGTTGTGGAGGGGGGTTCCTGGAGGGCTAGGTCCTCCTGGCCTCGACCTTGGGCCACCTTGGTCTCCGTCTCCTCTTGCCCCCACCCTGAGAAACTCTCCGGCACAGTCGCCACCACCCAACGCTCCTAGGTGGGAGGTTAAACCCACTGTTACCAGCTTGACTCACTCTTGATTTAAAATTGATTTTCTAAAAAAATAAAAATAAAAATAAAAAAATAGATTTTCTTGGGGCACCTGGGTGGCTCAGTGGTTGAGCAGCTGCCTTTGGCTCAGGGCATGATCCTGGGGCCCTGGGATCGAGTCCCACGTCAGATTCCCTGCAGGGAGCCTGCTTCTCCCTCTGCCTATGTCTCTGCCCCTCTCTCTCTCTGAGTCTCTCATGGATAAATAAATAAAATCTAAAATTTTTTTTTTTCTTGGAATGATGTGCAGAGAGGGCTCCAGAGCTTCAGTGGAAGTTTTTAAGGGTCCAGGGGTCCATAGCCCCTGTGAGACACAGATTTGGATGTGCTTCTCACACATGAGCCAGTGACTAGTACGTGGCCCTGGGCTCTGGGTGGGGGGGCATTAAAACAGCAGAGAGTATCTCTGGGCACTTGAAGAAAATTTTGATGGGGTGCCTGGGTGGTCCAGTCGGTTAGGTGTCCGACTCCCGATTTCTGCTTGGGTCAGATCTCAGGGTTGTGAGATCGAGCCCCGCATCAGGCTCTGCGCTTAGCGTGGAGTCTGCTTGTCCCTCTCCCTCTGCTCCTCCTCCCCCTCTTGCTCTCTCCCAAAGAAAGAAGGAAATTAAATCTTTGGGGAGAAAAGAAAGCTTTGAGGAAGGTGCCCTGGCTAGGTGTGGCGTAGTCAATCGAGACACAGCCGTGGAGCTGGGCTCAGACCCCAGGCCACCCCAGGGACCGGAGGGGAATTGGAAGGTCATCCGTCGCGGTGAATGTGGTCCCGACGCCTCCCCGGAGGGACCGCTGCCAGGTTTCTCGCTGGGATTCCCACAGCCACACAGGGTCCCAGGGGACTGCTCTCCATCACACCACGCACAGAGCCTTCCTCTTCTCTTTGCCAGTTGGGGCAGCTGGGGCTTCCCAGAAGTAGAAAACCCAAGATCAAGGGTGGGGGTGAGTGTGGGGAGGACTTCAGGGCAGTAAGACTCAGGTTCCTCTCCCAGTTTCAGGGCACACTGATTAAATGTCTGCTCTTCCTGCAGCCCCGGGGGCCGCCCCCCTGACCCCCCTGGCCGCCGGCATCACCCCATCACTGCAGAGGTCACCCCCCCTGCCCGGCTGAGTCAGATAGTCCTCCGGGAGGACTGCGGCTGATGGCATCATACTGATGACTCTCCGCCGAGCCATGATGGGCAGAGGAGAGACAGAGGCAAAGAGAACCCAGAGCTGGTAAAACACGGGAATGTTTTTACCTGGAGGAGGAAAAAATGTTGGAGCCGCCCCGCACCCCCCTCCCCACCTGCTCCAGGTCCCTGGAGGGAAGCAGCTGGCCTCAGAGACAAACTCTTGTGTGTCCCCCACGGACCCTGCCACACACACATAAGCACACACCCATCCACGTTGTCACGTGTGCACACCCCATCACATTCAAATATGCATCACCTCGTGTGGTCACACGCGCGAACCAACACGCCATGGGCACACTCACCGTTGGACGCGTGTAGCTCCATCCACAGCTTCTCCACCTCCTCCTGGAGTCTTTCCAGTGAATGCAAGGCTGTGCTTCTCTCGTTCAAGCCTTGGGTGATTGGGTGGGGGACAGGGGTCGGAGAATTGCGGCACCCCCCTCCCTCCCCACCCCCCCATTCCCTCCCAAGACTCACTCTGGGACTTGAGGTTGCTCAGGTCCGAACGAAGTGCATCCAGGTTCTGGGAGAGCTCGGAGTCTGATGGGGGGCGGGCGGGGGGCTGGGGTCAGGGTTGGGAGTCCGGGAGCCCGGGCCTCAGCCTCGTGGTCCATCCCAGCTCCAGGGGGCTCCAGGACCCCCGCCCCACCCCAACCTCTCACCCTGAGCTTTCATTCTCTTCTGTTCAGCTTGGATTTCCTTCATGTCCTGTGACACCTGGGCAGCTGTTTGCAGGGGAGGGGGCTCAGTGGCAAGCAAGTCCCCAGGGTCCTCTCCAGTCTCCCATCCCCCAGCCCTTCCCCCTCCCCCATCCCTCCTTTGGCAGTTCATGGGTGGTCCAGACAAGTTAATCCAGGTTTCCCCACCCCCACCCCTCTCCTCCCAGACCCAAGCGGACATCGCTCACCCTGGGATTTCTGGGCCATCTGGTCACCGTTGTGTCTTTCCAAGTCCTTGGAAACCCGAGAGACTGGGGTGACAGGAGAGAAGACGCGGCCTCAGGAGCCAGAAAGGCAGGTTCCTGAATCCCTCCTGCTCCCCGCCGCCCCCTCCCCAGGGCAGGGCCCCCTCCCACAGACCCAGTGCCTGAAGCCTTTCGTTTTTCATTTTTGGGGCGAAAGTACTCAGGAAAATGCAGACAAGAATAGAAGGAACACGTGCACACACCCTAACCCCCCCCACCCGCGGCTGCCAACCCCAGAATGAAACGTAAAAGCAGCAGGCATTTCTTGAAAGCTGGTGGGATGATGCAGGTCTAGGCGCTTCACAAGTCTTAGTTGGTTTCTGCCCCCAGAACCCCGAAATGATGCCCATTTCGCAGCTGAGGGAACCGAGGCCTGGAGCAGTTCCAGAGCATTCCCTCAGGCACTTCTCAGAGTCCACTTGCCCCCCAGAGTCCCTGGGTTTTCACCCCCAGGGGAGGGGGCAATGCAGGCTGACCCTAGTTCCCGGTGGAGCCCAGCCCTTCTCGCACGTCCCACAGGGGTCAGAAGCAGAAGCAGGACAAGAGCCCCCCACGACCCCCGGCCCCTCCTTACCGTTCTGGGCGGCGGCGACCTCCAGCTGTTTCAGATTCTGTACAGTGTCCCTGTCTGAGGAGGAGAGAAGAGGAGAGAAGCCGGGTTTCCAGGTACCCCCGGGCGCCCCGCCACCCACAGCTCACCTGTCAGCTGGGGATGGATGCCTTGGAGGTGTGGAAAGGGTGGGAGACAGGGGTGCTGGATGGGGTGGGGAGGACAGGCTTGGGGGGGACCGGTGGGGACGAGGTGGGAGATGTGATGGGACAATTGGACTCCAAGGGTGTGTGGGGCTCCCCAGGGTCTGAAAGTGGGCTCCTGGGAGGGGACACAGGAGGGAGGCCGCACGGGGCCGGGGGCGTCCTCACGCCAGAAGAGGAGCAGGGTCAGCAGCCCGGCCCACAGCATGACAGTCGCCAGCCCCAGCAGCGCCAGCTGCACCCCGGGCCTACAGCACCGCCGTCTTCTGGAAAACTTTGGGAACTCTGCTGGGTCTGAGGGGAGTGCCAAGGGGTGCAGGGCTCGAGACTGGGCTTGGCCGTGCCCGTCCCCCCAGCACCTGGAGCCCCTAAGTCCTGGGAGCCTGTCCAGGGCCCACACCCAGGCAGCGGGCCTCAGTGGACCCCAGCATCCTCTGCACCCCTTCCCTGCAGGCTGCTCCATCACGCCCACCAGTGAGCACCCCAACCCTGGCTCTGCCCATCCCCGCATCCCCACATCTGCACCTCTGCCCCGTCCAGCCCCATGTGGTCAGCAAGCCCGACCTGGGGCCAGGCCAGTGTCCAGAAGGCAGCTCCAGGGCAGGAGCCGAGACCCTCCCTCCTCCTCATCAGATGGCTGACCCCCCCCCCCCCGCCCAGCTCTCACCTGTGACCCTCTTCCCATTTTCGGGTTCGGTTACCCCCACACACACCCATGCTAGATCTCCAGCCTCACGCCCTGAAAGCTGGGTCTTCCCTCCCCTTGGACCACTGGCCCTCACCCTGGACCCCTTCCCCAAACACAGGACCCCGGGGTTCAGTTCTTCCCGCAGCCTTTTCTCTGGATGTCACACCCCTTGGGGCCTCACCCCAACGCCTGGGTCCCCCAAGACTCTACCTTGTTGCCCCACCGTGGGTCCGGGCCCCCTCCCCTCACCCTGGCTGGGAGGATCCACCATGCTGAATTCCACTTGTTCTCAGTCCCCGTTCTACTTGGCTTCCAATTCTATTGGGCTCCCAGCACCCCAGCTGAAGCCGTTTTCTTGTTGGAGGGCGTTGAGTCAGGGAAGGGAGGGGCCTGCGGCTTCCTTCTCCTGCCTGGCTCTGTGCCCAGAAGGCCAGTCAGGGCTCACCTCCCTCTGGCCCCTGACTGGGCCTTCTTCCCAGAGAAAGGCCCAGGAGCCCCTTTCCTCCCCCGGGTGGAAGGTAGGGGGTCAGGCGCTTGGTTTTGCCAGTGCCAGCTCCAGAGAGTGCTCTCACCTGAGTATGAATGTTCCTCCATGTCAACTGTGCTTGGATTCCCCCAGTGACGGGCTGCTCACCACCTGACAAAGCAGTCCACTCAACAGGTATAGCTCTGGCCAGGATCTGGGTTCTAATGAGCACGAAGGCTAGACGTCAGGCTCTGGTTGCCAGCCCAGGGCAGCATCTGGGGCCTGAGGAGCTCAGAGACCATTGCTGATTTTGTTTGGTCCATGGCCAGGAGTCAATGTTGCATTTAAATGGGAGATGCAGGGGCACCTGGGTGGCTCAGTGGTTGAGCGTCTGCCTTGGGCTCAGGGCGTGATCCTGGGGTCCCGGGATCAAGTCTAACATCAGGCTCCCCCACAGGGAGCCTGCTTCTCCCTCTGCCTGTGTCTCTGCCTCTCTCTCTGCGTCTCTCATAAATAAATAAATAAATAAATAAATAAATAAATAAATAAATAAATAATAAAATCTTAAAAAAAAATAAATGAGAGATGCTGCTGGTATGGGGAGGGTCACTAGCTTGAGACCAGAGGTGGGCGCCCCAGAGCCTGATACACAGAAGGTACCCAGCAGGTGCTCAAGAAATGTGGCAAGTGATTAAAGCTCAAACCCAATTTCCTCATCCATAAAATGCCATCATTAATAATACCTATGCCGAAGGGTGGTGATGTGCTCCTCCTGGAGGTGTAAAGTGCTGTGAACAAGGCCTGGCACGTAGCACAGACATAGAGAATCCACCTGTCGCTATTGCTGCCTGTGCAACCTTGGCCTGGGGCCCAACCTTCCTGAGCCTCAGTGTCCCCTAATAAAATGAGAGTGATGATCGCACCCAACTCAGGAGATCGTGGTAGGATCAAATGACATGATGACGTATGTGAGGTTTTCAGCGAGGTGCTGCACGCACACAGTGGGTCCTCAGATCCTGAGCCTTTAGCAGGCACCTGCTGTGTGCCGGGTCCTGCTGGGAGGTGCAGAACCTCCGCCACCAGACCTCAGCTTCGTCCTCTGTCATTGTGCCCAACGCATCTGTAGCATCTCTTGACTTTGGGGCTCCCGGGAGGCTCAGTCAATTGAGCGTCCAACTCTTGGTTTTGGCTCAGGTCACGATGTCAGGGTCATGAGATCGAGCCCCGAGCTCTGGGCTCAGCGGGGAGTCTGCTTGGGATTCTCTCCCTCTTCCTCGGCCCGTCCCCCCAGCTGGTGTGCTCCCACCACCTCCCTCTCAAATAAATAAATAAATAAATAAATAAATAAATAAATAAATCTTTTAAAAAGCCTCTTGACTTTAAGGACTGTGCCAAAGGCTATGGGTCTGGAGGTCAGATGAGCCTGGGGGTTACGGGCTGCCTCTCCTGCTGTATGACGATGGGCAAGTTGCTTCCCCTCTGGGCCTCAGGGAAGTGAAGACATGCGGTGGCAGGCTCTGATTAATGGCAGCTCAGACTGGGTCTTTCGCCATCGTGGAAGAGGTCATAGGTGTCACCATCCTGCAACCTAACCTGCCTGAACCCAAGCTGGACAGACGTGGAGCTGAGTCCTGGCTTCTCCCCGAACCAGCAACTAAGTTTGCTCATCTGTCGACTAGGGGTGACGGTGCCAACTCCACTGGATGAAGAGCAGTGTGGCATGCGAGGGCCTGGAGCACAGGTGGTCAGTTAACCTACTGGTGGGGTGCTGGGGAAACTGAGGCACCGAGAAAATCATTTGCCCATGTCACACAGTGGTAGGTCTGGGGCTTGAAGCCAGGACGTGTGACATCAGAACCTGTTTGCTCAACCACCTCGGGGTATGACCTCCTGGTCGGTGTCTGCCAGCAAGTGCCAGGGCGGCAGGGTCCTGACGCCAGCCCGTCTTTCTAACACCAGAGCACCCACCCCTGCTTACGGCCTTCTGTGGCCCTCCACGGCCCCCCAAGATCAGCCCCCGGTGGCCCGCCCAGCTCCTCTGTCCTTCACACTCATGCCAGGCACTGGCTTCAACTTCCCCAACCGGGGACCCTGCACGTCCAGTGACCCCGAACATGCTGCCCACTGCCCACCCCTCACACAGAACTCCTGCTCATCCCTCAAGACTCAACCCGGAGCTCGCCTCTTCCAGGGAGCCCTCCCTGTCCACTTCCCAGCACCTGACCCAACACACACACGCATGGACGCACGCGCGCTGAGGGTCATCTGTGCGCACACACGTTCCCACATAGACACACAGCCACACACTCACACATCACGCCTACCACGCACTCACATGAGTTGTGAGCGTGTCGCCGGCCGGAGGGGCTGACCCGAGAGGCTGGCGGGGCCGCAGGCCGTGATGAGCCGCTTAACCTGAAGACACAGTTTCTTCTGAAAGCGGACCCACCCACGGCTTCTATTTTCACAGGCCTAATTATGGGCTCACCACCTGGTTAACCACGTCACACGCATGGCCTCGGCTGGTGCTCCCCACAACCCGGTAAAGTCCGGACTATTAATATCTCTCTCCATTGCTCAGGTGAGCAAACGGAGGTTTGGAGTTGCCTCCCCCCCCACATTCCCGGGGCGCTGCGGGAAGTGAGTGGTAGAGGGGGGACTAAACCAAGGGGACTAAATCATCATGCCACTGCGGTGGGGAGGAGGGGGGGGGAGAGAGAGAGAGAGAGAGAGGAGGAAGAGCCATGAGATCACATAACGTCTTGGTCAAATACCGATAATTTTGTTATATGCTTGAATTTTGCAGCGGCGTAAGCTGGGCACTGCGCCCAGTGTCCTAGGACACCCACACACTTAATGTCCATGAGCTGTGGACACCCACCTCTCTGTGGGGTGGATGCTTGAGTTCTTAACGCTGCCGTACCGGTGAAGGACGCGGAGCACAGAGAGGTTAGGTGCCTTGCCCGAAGTTACACAGCTCGTGAATGGCCACGCCGCGATCGGAACCCAGGCAGCGTGGGTCCCAAGTCTGTGGCCCTCACCACTGTGAGCCTGGCCTTGTATTTATGGGGACTTCTTCCTGCCACCGCACACTCTGCTCTTCCTCCCGAAGATGTGTCCTCTGATCCCTGACCCTCTTCCCAGTCTTGTCTGGGGAACGCCCCGTGCCAAACCCCCATCCTGGCTGGGCTTTCTGCTCCCCTCTCCAGGCTTGGTGCTCTGCCCCCCCGACGCCGGAAGACGCCCACTTGCGCCTCTGTGTCCCACTTCCCAACCAGGACTGGGCTGGGCCACCCACCAGATGGGGAGGGGCCTAGCTGACATGTCCCCTGGACCTCGCGCTCCAGGACAGCAGGGGTGGCCCCGCCTGGCCTGTCACGCTAGGTTTTCAGCGCCAAAGAGCAACCTGTGGTTCTTGACTGAAGGACTGTTGGGTCGAAGCCGTTCATGCAGGGCCCCCGACTGTCCCTCTCAACCTCGATCTGGGCTAATCGTGGGGACGTGGACTCACTGCATACATTGCCAAGTGACAGAGGATGACCATTCGAAGTAGGGAGGTTGCCGGGTGGGCATCTGAGACATGTCACTGGGGCTGGACGTAAGGGCAGCAGGAGGCCTGGTGGGGGGTGTGTGCTGGGTGTGGTCATGGGGACCAGGTGGGGGTGGGGACACTGGGGAGCTGTCGCCTGGCCTAGGTGGCAGAGGAGGTGTCTGGGGGGGGCGCAGCTGTGGGAATGAGGAGAAGCAGACTGGTTTGAGAAGAGACGGGCTTGGTGATGGGTGAGGTGGGTGGAGGGGGTGATGTACTCAGAAGATGCTGTAAAAGTTAACTGGGTCCCCACTAGGGTCCCTGAGGGACAGTGGGGCTGTCCTAGTGATGAGGACACAGGAAGGAGATGGAGAAAATTTGGGAACGAGCCCTATTGGGCCGCAGTGAAGACACAGGACGGGGCGGGGATGCAGTTGGGTGCTTTGAGCTTTGGAGAACTCCGAAGGGCCCGGGCCCAGGCCCCATCCACACTGGGCCCCACAGTCCCCACCATGTCCTTCCAGGGGTTTTGGAGGCTCCTGCCACCTAGGCTGGAGGATGCTTTGGGGGTGGAATCTGAACCCCCCTACTCGGGGCTGCAGCGCCGATGTCACGCGATCGACCCCTCCCTCTTCCCCCCTATGGTACCAACCCGCTGCTCTGCTCACTTCGAGGGAAAAACAGGAAACTGTGCGGATGTGGGCACTGATCTGAGGGTGCTGGTTCTTCTTTCAGGTTTGGGATCCTTGAGCCTGGGGCAACCCCCTCGCTGGTCACAGACCCGGATCCGGAGGAATGAGTCAGGGGTCCTGCCACAAGCATCAGCGATTCCCAGGCGGGTGCCCAGCCCAGCCCCAGCCCCGACCCTCCTCGACCCCCACTCACCCCCAAGGATGTTCTGATCCCCAGCCCTCCTCACCTGTGCTCTGGGCGCAGAGGAGCCTCACCCGCCCCGACTAAACTTAGAACCTCAGCACCTGGGACAGGGCCCCCGCATTCAATGGAAATGTGATGAAGGGACATTTCTACCCTGACCCCAGCCCCATCCTGGAGGTACAGCCCCTGGGCTTACCCCCACTCAATCAATCTCTCCTGTTGCAAAAGGGAGAAAGGAAGGGGGTGTATTGGTGTGAGAGGGAAGTGGGGGTGTCAAATCCCGGAGGACTGGCAGGAGGAGGTGCCTCTAAAACCGGGTTCCTCATTCTCAACTCTGTTGGCATCGGGGCTGGATGATTCCTTGTTGTGGCGGCGAGGAAGGGGGGCTGTCCTGTATATGGCAAATGCCTCCTGGGGGTGGG